ACCCTAAACCCTAATCCTTACAAGGACTCTCTATTGCCTTAAATGCCGTCGCTTCCGAGCGCTGGTGGGAAGCACCTCTTTGGACAGTGGCGGCGCTGGTGTTTGCTGGCATTTCGTATCCTTACTACTTGGCAGATTTGGTTTAGGGTTTAGGGTTTAGGGTTTAAGGTTTAGGGGGTTATATTGGGATAGTGGAGAAGAAAATGGAAACTACTATTTACGGTATCCGTACTACTATAGTATATATTGGGGTCATATAAGGGTTATATAGGGGTTCTATGGGGATTATAGGGTATATATTGGGGTCATATAGGGGATAATGGAAAAGAAAATGGAAGCTATAGGGATTATAGGGACTATATAAAGGTATACTACTTAGCAGACTAGGTGCGCTTTAGGGCTTTACAAAATCTTACTATTTCGCAAACTCGGATCCAACCTTGCTTGAAACTTTTAGTGTAGAAACCTCAATAATTACCAACATTGTGGCCCTAGATTCCACAAATTGTCTAGGCCCTAAACCCTAAACCTATTTTAAGCTTTTTGGGCCCCAGAGTTCAGCAACGAGGTATCAGTGTTGCTGGCGACAGAAAAACCGAAGCTGTGCCTCTTGCATGGCGGAGGGAACTGCCTAGGGTTTAGGACTTAGGTTTTAGGGTTTTGGATTTAGGGTTTAGGGTTTGGGATTTAGGATTTAGGTTTTAGGGTTTGGGATTTAGGGTTTGGGGTTTGGGATTTAGGGTTTGGGGTTTGGGGTGCCTGACGACTGGTGAGACGCTGGGAGCCTTCAGGGGTGGTGGAAATGGAAAAACGGGGGTAGCAATGGAAAAAAGCTATAGTAATTGTAATTATTTTGGTGACATCATTGTTATCATCAGGAGTAGTGCTGTGGATGGAGGCCAAGGTAGAAACCACCATCAGTAGCAACTACAATGCGTTAAAACATGTATATAAGCGGTGCAGGATTTCTTGCATCCACTGCAGTAATAGACATAGTAGTAGTGATAGTGATGGTGGCATGCTGTTGATGTTAAAATCCTGCGCGGCTTTTGTGTGTCTCATAATACCAAAAACCGCAAGGTACAAAGTCCTTAAGGCCAAACAGGTTGTTTTACTATCCAGCCTTAATCACTGTAAATCGGGTACTGCCCCGGTTAATATTAATTCTTAAGCTCTATATAGTTGCAATATAGATATTACGTAACTGTTACTGGTTGGAGTCAGTGCCTAAGTTGTGAACGCTCAAATCCTCAAACCCCTCAAACCCTTGAACCCTTAAACCCTTAAACCCTAAAACTGGTTATCAACATTATGGTCCCTTTTGAGGTTTACGTAGAGTTTAGGGTTTAGGGTTGGGTTGTCAAAATTATGGAACCCATTAGGGCAATATTAGGGTTATATTGGGGTTGTATGGTGGATAATGGAAAGAAATGGAAACTACTGTACAATGGGTTATATGGGTTGTTGTCGAAATCATGGTCCCTTTTTTTGATCCCTATTATAATACGGCACCTAATACTTAGGGTACCCAAAAAGGGATCATAATTTTCACTTTTTCACAACCACCCATATGAGCTTTCATCTGAGCTGTTAAAAGGGTGCATTATACAGGGTTTAGGGTCGAAACTCCTTAAAGGGGGTTATATGGGGGATTAAATAGGGTTTAGGGTTCAGGATTTAGGGTTTAGGATTTAGGGTTTAGGGTTTAGGATTTAGGGTTTAGGATTCAGGGTTTAGGGATTAGCCTAGACTCCTTAAAGGGGGGTAAATAGAGGGGACTATCAGAAGGGGATATTCAGGGGGATGCTAGGAGTTTAGACTATGCTTCATATATGGTAGGTCGTTACAGTCACAGTTCTCGTTTGGGTCCCCAGTAGGATACGGCCCTTGATATCTGTGTACCCAAAAGGGCCATGATTTTAACAACCTACCATATATAGTCTAGGACGACTACAACAGGGTAGCTGACTTACAGGCAGGTTGTATGTGCTCCGTGCACCCTTATGCAGCTTCCAGAGACTTTATACAAGTCTTATTTGCGTCATTTTAAGCTCCCCGCCGGGGAGTAGTTGGTTCAACTATCTGCGCTGATCTTAGCGTGTCCTGGCAGCATGGCGGTCCTGTCGAAAGATGATGTTATTGTGGATGCTCAAAATGGTAGTTTCCTAAAATTAGGGGTACCTTTTTGGGGGCCCCCTAATAAGGATTCTGGTATATTAGGGTCTATATTGGGGTCCCCCCATTTTAGGAAACTACCAAATCCTGCATGACCTTAGTGTACATCTAACACACAGACGCTAATCCCAAGCCTAACTTGTTCTATGCAGGATTTGTAGTATCAACAGGAGCATGTGCGCTGGCCAACTAATGTGGGAGCCAATCCTAAATCCTAAGCCCTAAGCTCTAAGCCTAAATCCTTAACCCAAAATCAACCCTAAACCCTAAACCCTGAACCTTAAACCCTAAACCCTGAACGTTAAACCCTAAACCCAAAACCAATTAGGTCTGCATGAAGCCTCAACTGCATCTAGGCTCTTGCAGTACAGAACGGCCACCGCACTGCTTTATGCACATGGGTGGACGTCAAAATGATGGTCCCTTTTTGGATCCCTATCATAATACGGCACCTAATGTTTAGGCACCCAACAAGGGACCACCCACATTGCGCCCATAAATTGTGGCACTAGCAGAACGCAAAGTGTTCACGCTAGACAATCCCGCATGCCCTCAGCAAAGACGCTGTCGTTTTGTACGGAGGTGCAAGCAAGTGGTAGTTTCCCAAAATACAGGGACCCCGATATACTACAATCCTTAATGTGGGGATCCAGAAAGTCACGTTTTTTGTAGGAACGCCACAAGTCTTGATCATTTAGCTGCCCCATCTACCCTTTTACTTCCAAGGTCGTTGAAGTTGTTGATGATGATGATGATGATGATGACGATGCTGATGTAAGACAAGCCTGTTTTTAGGAATTAGTGTTCCTGTATGGGCAGTATGAAAAGACCCAACTCCTCAAGCAAAATACCAAAGCCAAAGAACTATTTTGCGTCGGGTACTTGCTCAGTAGGGGGTGGGCCGGTTACATGCCGCGACAACTTACTGGTTCTTAGTACAGAATAAAGGAATATCATCCCCATATAACCCCTACATGTCCCTTATTCCCTAAGCCCGAGTAAGATAATGATGATTGTAGGAACCTCAGGCAGCTTATATTTTGGGAACCTCCGTGTAGAAGCCTGTTGAACGCTAAACTCCAGGGGAAGCTGTCACAAACACGGCAACCCGAAGCCTCAACCCCAAACCTTAAACCCTAAACCCACGTGTTGTCACTTTCCCCATGAAGGTATGGGTGCCCTTAGCCGTTTTGGAGGGAGTGTCTGTGTAGAGTTTAGGGTTTAGGATGAAAGGAGGATGTACCAGGTATGTGAGGACCCCAGGATTGCGAATTCATTCTTCAGGGCCCATGGGTCTGCATCTGTGTATTATACTCTTGTGTATGTACGTATCTACATGTTGTGTACATAGGTGTTCGGAAAGATATACACATATGAACACATGCATATATACATATGTATGTATGTGCCCGCATCTACATACATATCACACATACGCACATGTATACCTACACACACATACATCTATTCACACACACACACGACTACCTACCTACATGTATGTATGTATATATCCCTATGCAAATTTGTTCATGTATATCTATACAGATGCGTATGTATATAACGCTTAGCCCAAACCCCATCCCCTAAATCGTGTTATATACACATACTTGACAGTTCTTACTTGCAGAGCATGCTGGCAACCTTTCTGCGGATCCGCGCTTGGCGCAGCACTCGCTCGCGTCAAAAACCTGTGTGCTTTTGGCGGCTTAAGAAAGTGAAAGCTACTTGCAGGGTCAGGGGCATCTCGTAGGTATGTTCAAAGCCCAAATAAACCATAGAATAGCCCCTACTTACGAAGCCCCGCTGACCCTCCAAGTACGATGTCATTGGAGGTTTAGGCTTCGGGGTTTAGGGTTCAGGGTTTAGTTGGGGACGTGTGCATGGATTGTAGGGATAACCCGAGGCACCTTGCTGGGGTTAGATATGGACTACTATAGCTGTCCATTGCCCCATGCCCAACTGCGCATGAGTTGGGCACATTCCATGCTTTTGTCGCCTGTAAGCAGTAGGGATGGGG